GGAAGTGATTTATCCCTCAAGCTGACACTGGATAATTTGTAGGCATTTACTTTTTGCTGGGTTGGGGATACTTGAGTTTTTGTTGCCATTCTATAGCTACTCCAAGCATTAAAAGAGGGCACAAAATAAACTGCCTAAAAATAGCTGCCAGGGAAATGTTACTTGGAAATTGGGGTAGGAGCCAGCTGCCTGAAAGCAAAGCCTGTCTGGGGGCTTTGGGGGGTTCAGAGGTGCCACTGCACTGTGTTACTCCCCTTTCAAACCCAGTATTTCATAAAGCACCTGCAATAGCCAATCCACCCCCAAAGAAAAAATGATTTAACACCATTCCAATCCATGTAACAAGATTCCATGTAACAGCTCCTGTAAGGTGCAAAATATGGGATTAAAATGAAAATGCAAAATAAAGGTTTGTACTGTGTAGCCCAGTTCAGGGCAGTCCTGCTCAGCTGGGTCACAAGGGGTTTTCTTTTTGCCATAAAGCATTGCTGTTAAAGAATATTAACTACTAAATACACTGAAATAGGCTGCTCCAGGGAACTGGATGAGGATCTTTCTTTCCTTGCCTCATTTTCCCACCTGTCTTAGCACAATTTATGGTATGGCCTTGTTATCCATCAGAGGCTGCCAATCACATTTCCAGGACTTCTCTTACATGTCCCTAGACTTGATTCTGCAGAGAACAGAACGACAAACACTTTTATTTACCCACCAAAATTCACTCACTAGGTAAAATAAAATCAAAAGCAGCTGAGAAGGGAGGAAGGAGAAAGGAAATCAAAAGCCAGGCATGCTGAAACCCAACTGCTGGCTGACTGCACATCAGGGGAGGGAAAAATCTGCCACGAGCTGTTAGTTATAAAGATAATTATATCCTTGATTAATAGCAGGGGCTTTTAGAAAAGAGTTCTTCTTGATTTAATTAATGGAGGAAAACCACGGGCTTTAGACAGGCACTGGCAATGTCTGTACAGCCCTGGCTTCACCCATCCTGAGTTCAAATCATCTCTGGCCATGGCCACCATCAAATCCCTGCTCACATGGGCAGGGTGGAAGAAAGGAGGGATCCCCACTGGATTCTGTGACCCCAAATCCAGGGGCTGAAGGGAGCCAGCCACATCCCTCCTGCTTTCCCAGGGAGGATTGTGGTGTCCAGCACTGCCATCCCAACACCTTAATCCAACATAAGAGTTATTTTTAAAACATCAACAAAGCACTGGATGCCACAGATGTTGGTTCAGTCTCAAATCCAGGCTGGTCCTGTTGCACAAAGCCAGGGGGAAATGAGCAGCCACCACACTCCAGATCTCAGGAATGTGCCAAAGGCAAATGTACTCTCCTTCCACCCCCGGGATTATCTTTTCCTTTGGCTATTTCAGTTGATTGAGGCTATAATAAGAACAGGGAAAAGCAATACCAAGGTTAGAAGTGCCTGGCATTGGTTTGGAGACAACACACCGTGATCCTGCTGGTTCAGGTTTCAATGTGTGTTAAACACAGATTCTTCTGCTACGTGGGACTAGCAAACATTTTATTGAATTACCTTCAAGATAAAACAAATCACTGCCTGGGCAATCTAACAGGTTTCCCATGAAGAAGCACATCATGTGTAAATAGAAAAATTTCTTAGGGAGAAAACCAAAAGAACCTCAGTGTCATGTTGGTGCACCCACCACAGGCTGCACACAACAGCAGCTTCACTAAATACTTTCAACACCGAGTTTGCACACTAAAATCCGCTTCTGAGCCACGTGAGCAGCCCAGGAATCATCAGAACCATTTATTTTCCTTTTCAACAGAGACTTCTCAATGTGGTTTTCCTCCCTTCCAGCTGAAGAGCACAGAAATTTTGCACCTCTCTGCAACTCACCCACACACAGCACTGCTGCTTTTCCAGCAAACATTACCTAAAGGATAAAGGGAAGCCCAGGGGAGTCACCCTTGGCTGAAATCAGGGGGTTTTCACCCAGCCTCCCCACTGGGGTGCTGCTCTGAGGTGTCAGGATGTGTTTTCAGATCCCCAAAAGCTCATGTTGTGGAAGCACAGAGACAAGGGACTGAAACCACGAAGCAGCTTCATTAGTGGATGTGATGATTAAAAGCAGCCAGCTCTGTAGGCAGCCTAACAGCAGACAGGGACCAAGATTCCCTGGTAATCACCCACCCACAGCAGGAACTGACCTGGCAAACCCCAGCCAAGGCTGTAGTTCAGAGAAAAAGGCATTTAGCTGTCTGAGCGAGCTGCAACGCTGCATTTCCCCCTCTAATGGGCTTTTAATGCTCCTCTCTCTCCAAGCCCGTGATGTTTTCAGTCCTTGCTTGGTGCAGGGTCTGTGCCAGGAAGGGCTTGGACTACAACCATGTTTTTGGGGAACCAAGCCTGCCCCAAACCTCCCCCAAAAATGAGCCAGACTTTGGCTCCAGTCAGAGAGGCAGAACAAACTTGCTGGAGCAGAGCAGTGACTCCAGATTCCCACCCCCTACTTTCCAGGACCTGCCTCAACTCTGCCATAGCCCCAATGTCGATTTCCAGCCCTGTGGAAACGTGGAAGATGCCAACCCCATCTTTAGCCATTATGAGGTGTCTTTATTTCATTCCATCCAGGTCATGGCATTTGCATTTTCATCACTCTCAGCCTCTCAGGTCAGCACTAACACGAGGTTACAGCACTGGTGCTTCAAGGCTCTTCAATTCAGCATGGTTTCAGAGTTAATAAATGCAATCCCATTTCTCAAAGCCAAGAGGCTTCCTGACCAGATCACACAGCCTTCAGCCAGCCCACCAAATCCATGTGCCACTGGTTTCTGCAGGAAAACAGCTGGCACGGATGGAGCAGTACAAGAAATCACAGGGTGGAGGCGATTTTGTTGTCCCTATCCACACACTTTTCTTTTGCTGCATAGGAAGTTTTGAGTCCTCTCCCTGTGAAAGGGAGGAGGAATGTTTTACTTTATTGTCAGGGATTTTTAACAGGGCACTCTCTAAATATTGAGGAGGATTTTCTCAGAGAGGCAGCAGCCTTAAATTCCACTTTAAAGGGAGCTTTAGCTTTTTGTAAAGGAGGCACTCAAGCTGAAATCAGTGGTAGGCATTACCGAGTGTGGTTTGGGCTGAGAGAAGACACAAAGGACTTTAATTTCTGATTTCCAAGAGAGGTCATAAACAGTGCCCAGAAGTTTTGTTTTTAAGAAAGCATCATTTCCCGTGGACTATGCAAACACAGTGCTGCACAGCATAGACAGAAGGTATAGGGAATCAAGAGGATATTAATGTTTTACTGACTTTATTTGTAATTGCCTCTTACCTCTCACAGCAATAATTACCTACACCCTAAAGAAATCCAGGCAGCTCAGCACTGCCCTTAAACACCAAAATACAGTACAGAGCTGTGTGCTGCCAATCATCACTGCCCCAGTAACAGCAGGAGCCTCCCTCATCCCCTCCTCCCTGAGCAGCCTCTGCAGGAAGCTGCAGCCAAAACCCAGAAAAAGCCTCATTTTACCTTAATGGAAATGGTTACCTTGGGGTACAGCAGGACCCCTGGCCTGCTGAATGAGACTGGGTTTTTTAGGATGGCTGATTCCCTGACTGCCACTGCTTTTCAAAGATTGCAGCCAGTAGTGAAGTTCCTTAAAGCTTGAGCTTTAAGAGAATGTTTTTTTCTTTCAGATCCTTCCTTATTAAAAAAAATATATATATATTCTCACTTTAAAACACCAGCATCAGTGCAAATCACGGTAATTTCTGGTCAGCCAGTTGCCACCTGCAATTTCAGTGCAGCCGTGGCTGGAAAGCAGAAAGGCATAAAACGGTTAGGTCTTTTTGTCAAATGTGCTCAAAGTAAAAAATCCCAGGAGTAGAACGTCGTGAAAAAGCACATCCACAGCACCAAGATTAGCTGCCATTGGGCACCTGGTTCACCCACGAGGCAGCATCCTGCTGCTTCCGAGCCCACTGGAGATGGAAAGGAGCAGCCTGGATACTTTTAAAAGTTACGGCTCCCCAACCAAGAGAAGGGAGAGGCAGGAAAAGGAGCCAGGGGCTGGGGAAGCAGAGCAGAGAGCAATCCTAGCTCAGAGTGCTCCGTGCACAGGGTTCTGCAGCCGGGAACGTCCAGCCTTTCCCTGCAAGGCAGCAAGGGGAATGTGCCTCGTCCAAGGGCACGGGAGCAGTAAATAGTTAATTACGTGCTATGGATAAGCACATTACGTGCAGCACGGCTCAATGCATTATTCACCAGGGCTTGGGGAGAAAACCAGCACAGAGGAAGGAAAAGAAAGGAGAAATTTGTGCTTCCTCAAGGAGCACTTTGATTTTGTGAAGACCAGCGTTACGATCGAAGTGTGCGGTTTCCCTTTGGAGTACCTTAAATAAACACTTTTACACAGCATCAACGTCCCTCCGAGCTTTTGCTGTGGGTACACGGGTGACAAGCACGGCACAAATCTCTACCTGTTGCACTGAAATGTCAGGAGCAGCCGAGAAACCGAGGCAGGCTGCATCCCAAAGAAACAACCAGACAACACAAACATTTTGAACCCCACCACCGGTAAACCCCAGAACATCCAACCTCCGCTCCTTGAAGGGACACTTCGGGCTGCCTCCTCTTCCCTGCGGCTCAGGAACGGGAAAACAGACTCCAAAGGCAGTAATTAAACATTTGCAACAAAAGGAACGGACAGGAGGCAGAACTCGCCTCGGTCCATCTCACCTAGTGAGCAGGGAAACCCCCACAAAGCAGGCTGTGTCCCACAGCATCACCACCCCACAGCTCCTGAGGCAAGCGCGATGTTTCACTGTGTCCCAGCGCCCTGGAATCATTTCTCCTTTTGGTTCTCTACTGCTGTGCCGCCAGCGAAGCCAGGCTGGAGCCTCGGCGGGCTTCAGGGCGAGCGATGGAACCGCGGAGAAGGCGGCGGGGGCTTCAGAGCAAGGGAGAGCCCCGGGGGGCCTCGCCCTCCGCCCCAGCGGCTCCGGGGAAGTTGTGTCGCGCACTTACCCAGGACGAAGCAGAGGAAGCGCCGCGGGAGCAGGGCCATGGCCCCGCGGCAGGAGCGGCTCCGCTCCCGGGGCCGGGCGGGCTCCGCGCCCGCGGCGCTGCGGGAGGGGCGGGCCCGGGGCGGGCGCGGCCCCGCCCGGCTCCTGCCCTGCGCTGCCGGAGCCGAGGGGGAAGCGCTCCCACGGCGGGGCCAGTGGGATGGAGCCCGGGCTCTTCTTATCGCCTTCTCCTCTCCCCCTCGCAGCCCAGAGCCGCAAAGGGAGCAAATAGTTCCGAAGGAAAGCACGGAGCAGTCCTGCTTCTTCACGCGCTTTCCTTAACCCCGCTTTTTTTCTCCCTAGCTAAAAAATCCTGCCTTCCCCTTTCCTCGTGTGGAACGTACCCAGGGAACACGGTTTTAAGGAGAAAGGTTTTGTGGTTGATTTTTCATTCGTTCCTGAGCTCCTACAGCTCCACCTGCAGCTCATTCCCGAGCTGTGCCTGAGCAGCAGAGCCTGCCTGGGCTCCTCAGGTGCTCTGGATCGGGATACGCCCTTGGGAGCAGGCCGGCAGCAGGGGCACTGGCCCACAATTCGCTTCTCAGAGCTCTCCTTTTCAAGGGGAGAAGAACAGTTAAAAAGGGAACGATAAGGAACACCAGAGTGTGCTAACTCGAGTCTTTCACACTGTGCACACGTCTGCTTTCCCGAGAGGAACAGAACAGCTCTCAGGCTAGAGAGCAAGCTCTTCCCCAGCTATTCTCACCTCCCTACTGCCAGGGCCGGGGGACAGAAACAGCAGCTGGGAATGACGCGGAACAGCAAAGCCTGGCACTGCTTCCACCCTGACAGGAGACACCAAAGCTGGGGCCTCAGCTGCAGCACCGGGACCAAGGGCAAAGCACAAAGCCACGGCTCTGCCACTGAGAGGGAGCAGAGCAGGTCTGGAAACAGCACAGCACCGCCCCAGCTTTTTTGAAGAACAAATTTTAACCTTTATTGACAGTAAACAAAGCTGCTCTTTTGCAGCAGCAATTGCAGCAGGATCTAGAACAGAGTACAACAAAGAGACTAAGTATAGGTGAGCTCTGAGCACAATCACCCTCTCTTACATGGATTACATACTTGGAAAATGGGGATTCTTTTTCTCCCCATCATTTACTAATGACGTGGCCATTTCACACCTCCCTCATGATGAAAATAAAAGTTAGTATAAGTCATCATCTCCCACACAAAACAACAGGATAAAAATACTGCAATAGGAACTATTAGGACTGCAGAGCCCATGCACCACTGGAAAACCAAATAATTACTCCACAAGAAGGCACAACACATTTCAAGGCTGTTAAAACCTTAGTGACTGAAAATGCTTCCAAACATAAGATTTTAATTTTTTGGGGATGAGCTTCTGTCCCTATCAGCAGTCCTGTGAAAGTCAGACAGGGGATAATTATGAAGATTTTTCCTTTTTGCAGGAAACCTGGTAGTGGCACTGCTGGGAGGTACCTGAAGCAAGCAGAGCACCAAGCTGAGCAGGAGACCAAAACAAGCACAGACAGACACATCTCTGGAATTCTGGGCTGTGGTTTTAGCAGGTTCAGCTTGCTGCAGCTTCCTGCAGTGCCATACGATTGTGCAAAGGGATCGGTGTGAGAAAACCACGAGACACAATCTGGTTCTGTCAGGTTTCCAGCCCCCAGACAGAAACCATCCGTGTAGTGGCCCAGAAGGGAGCCAGCGCTGGGATTTCTGTGTGAGGCTACACAAGGCCTGGCCGTTAGGTGTCAGCTTTGTACCAAACGTGTGGCAGTGCCCTCCACAAAGCTCATCAGCCAAGCAGGTCACTAATTAAACCACCGGCACATCGAGTTTTATACAGTGCGACCTGTTTTACAGCTCCCAGTCCTTACAAACCACTGCTCACGGACCTCCTCTGCAGGGCTTTAGGCTAAGTTAATCTAGTCAGGCTGTAGAGCTACACAAATTCACGTGGGTTTATTCCCCTGTGGGCTGGAATATTCACCATTTTCAGTGCTTCTCCTGCTGAGAACAGCACATCGATCTCCTCAGGATGGCAGACGTCTTTTCCTCAATAGAACTGATGGCCATGCCACTCAGGACACCTTTGTTGATTTTCCTCACCTCCTGCACAGCCTCCACAATTTCATCTCTGTGGGAATTAAAGAAGTAACTGGTAAAATCACATTTAGCAATTAGTTACCATGGATATTGGCTCCATTACAAATTAGGGCTGAAAAGAAACCCAAATATCTCACTTGCTAAACTCTGGATGCCTTTCTTGAAGTCTCTTTACTAACTTGGTAAAGCTGCTCAAGTTCAGTGCGTAAGGAGAAACAAAGATACCAGATGGGTTAACAGAGGAACAAGTGGATGTTTTCAGCAGGGAATTCTCCCCAGGATCCTAAAATTGCATCAAAAGAAGGAAAAAAAATGCATCGATTAAGGTAATACAACACCTCTTTCCTACAGATAAATATAAAATCCTAAACCCACAGAATGGTTTGGGTTGGAAAGCACCTTAAAGCTCATCTTATTCCTGCTACTTTAAATTAGATCCAGTTACCACTTCCCAAAGGACCAGCGTGTTTAAAGGGAAATCCCCAAAGACAGTAAATCTGTGTAGTTTATGAGAGCAACTCCAGCAATTAGTGATTTGCCCTTTACTCTCAAGGGACCAAGCTGAGCCAATACAAAACACTCTGTTTTATACAAGAGGTTTCTTAGATTTATGCTAGAAAATCCAATTCCCACCTATTATCCCATAATCTCTCCTGTATAAAAGCATATGACATTTGCATAAAAAAACCCCAGGTGTTACAAGATGAAAAATCTAGTGCAAATAAGTAAAGTCCAAACTGTCCTAGGATTAAAAAAAAACAAACAGCTGGAGTGTCATAGTTTGATGCAGGGGCAAAAGAATGGTGCTTTCACTCTTCTGCCACGTGTCAGAAATTTATTACCTATACATAACATATCTTACCATCCTAACATAATTTTCTATCTATTAAATGTTATGAGACAAGATGATTTAAGGCTCTTAGTCTGCCACACAAAGGAGTGTTAGTAATAATTATTTACCTTTTGATTATCTCCAAGCAAAGAATGTGCCAACTCTTGGGTAGGTGAATTCAGATCAAGGCACTTGGCAGTAAATGTGGAGTATGAAAGAAGCCTTAAAGAGGGAAGAAATTCCTTCTACAAATTAAGAACAGACCTACCTCAGGCACTGAGGGTTTTGGGCCATCACCATGAACAGAAGAATGTTGATTCCTACTCCCCACTGTCTTCATTTCTAATAAATGTAAGAAAGCAAAGAGTTACTAACTGTTCTTGAGCTGACATCTCTGCAGATTTTGGAAAGCCTAGAGAGAAAACCTTAGAAGAAACTAAGGGAAAGAAGAGAATCTTCTAACAGAAAGTGAGTGTCCTGACAAGCACAGCAGTCCAATTAGTGGAACATCTTTTCCCTGAGTGTTTCCTGAGATTTTAAGAGGCAGAGGAAACACAGCTCTGAAGTGCCAGTGCTGAAGGCTGGTACAGAGAACCCCCAACCTTGTTGATGCCTTCAACACCCACCTCTGTGACTCCAGTCTCCAAACACAAACCATCTGCATCTCACTCAAGAGTCCAGCATGAGAATAAAGCACAAAAAGGAGAAAAAAACCGGTAAGGTTTCCATCTATGTGACTGGCTGGGCATTCACTAATTTGAGTTCAAGCACTGTAGGGGAAGTTTTCAAGGAAAAACATGGATGAATGAAAACAGCCGAGTATAAGGATTCACTGCTAGTGAGTGAGAAAATGAATCTGAAAACCCAGCTGGCATTTTTTCCAAGTTTATTTCTGCTTGGAGAAGGAGCAGAGCACTCCAATAATAAACACCATTGTTTGGTTTATCAGCTTAAAGCACACTTTACCTCCTGAGCCAGTGGAGTCTTCCTTTCCTTGTTGCTTTCTCGTTTCTCTGCACAGTACTGAAAAATCTGCCACTGACAAGTCTTCCTTAGCATCAAACCAATACTCACTCCCTTCCTCATTTTTTACACAGCCTTGGCAGTTGGGATAAAATTTAAGTGTTAAAATTCAAACCATAGTATGCTACATAAATGAGTATCAAATTTCTGTGCTGAAGAGCATTTCAGCTGCTCACATCTCTTGGTATTACATTTCAAAGAGGTGACATTACTAGCTTGGCATTCTAATTTAAGCAGAATTTTTTTTCAAGATGTAAGTAATAATATAGAGCTATTATTACTTATCAATAAATTTTGATAGCTGATATATAAATATTCCATCACAGAAAGGGCAGCTGTGTTACCATATATATCTTTTACACAGGGTTTCTTTCCTCCCCTGACAACTTAGCTCACAAATAAAGGATTCTTTTTCACTAGGAGCAGATCACTTACCATGTTCCAGAGCCTGATCTTTAGGTTGTTCTTGCCATGTCTCAGGGGAAGCAATATCACCTGGGTGATGACCATCAGCCTGTGACTTCTCCTGCAAACACATCTCAGTTATATCACAGCACTCCCAACTGATTACAAGTTATTTTTCAGAATATCAGCCCACAAAGCGGGTGAGCTTAAAAAAGTTCATCTGCCCATCATCCTCAAGGAACCCCCAAGTTATTTTATTTTGAAAGGGCAATTAAAATTGTGAACATATGAGCTGCATTTGCAATTAGTGGCAGAGGATCCCAGGCTGAGAGCCCTGATCACATTTGCAGATACCTAAAAAGAGAAAATCCTTCTCAACATGACCATCTCCAAAACCCAGGAGTAAAGAATTCCCTACCACATTGGCAGAAATCCCCTTTTCTTGCCCTTTTGTTTCTTCCAAGTCAGCTTTCCCTTCACCTGAAAGATCACTAAAACACATCCAAAGATTTAATACAAAATATGGGACAACAATTTTAAGTTCTACAGTAATTTAAATATTTCCAGAAGCTCACAGTAAAATAAACCTACTTAATAAATCTCAGCTTTTTTCACTGTCTCTTAATGGTTTTCTGTGTGATGTTCAGATGTATTCCTTACAATCTGAAATACCTGTGCAACCTTTACTAATTGTCTATAAAGCAAAATAATTGCCTTTACTTTTTCTTGATTAACTTTAGCAGATTTCAAACAGTCTCTAGCAGTTTACCCAATTCAGTAAAAACCTACTGCCAAATCTGTTTTCATCTCCACTTACAGAAAGTCACTGGACATGGTTCCTGAACATGTTCTATCATGTACCTGCCTGAAATATGAAGTTATTTTTCTATCATCCTTCATATCTCAATGATAATCTTAGCAAAACAGCTTCATATTATCTCTTAATATTATCTATATGCTTACTATTATCTCTGCTGGCAGCAAAGTCTTTCTGGGTTTTTGTGGCCTGAGATTTTTTGGTTTTTTTTCTTGTTGCTTGGTTTTTAAGACTGATGCCATTATAACTGGAGACAAAGATTTTTAGTAGTGAAAGCAGGGAAGAAGGAAAGTGACCTGTAAATTGAAAACTTTTACTATAAAGATGGTAAAGACACTCCCTGGTTTGCATACCAGAACACCACAGAGGGAAAATGCCCTTAAAATAATTGTATCCACATGGCAATGCTGATCTTTCAACCATACAGCCTTAAACAACAAGATGCATCCTAAAATAAAGAAATTATACGTTTAACACCTTATAAACTCATTCCTCACTGAACTTAGTAAGTACAACAACAAATGAAAGCTACTTACTCAGAGTAAAGGCTCTTTCTGAAAAACTGTCAAAAAAAAAAAAAAAAAGAGATTTAGCTATAATTATCTAATTATAAAACAATTTGTATTAAAAACATGAAACAAGTAAGCAATTACCTTGGAGGGGATGTAAAAGGAAGAGACTGGGGGAAACTTCAGCTCAACTGACAGTGGTGGAAGTTCATTTAAAGGTATGCCCATGTTTATCTCCATTCTCATTTTTCTGTAGTTATTGTCCAGCTCATCCAAAACCAACAAGAGAGATGAATATAACTCAGTCTTCGCCTCACATCTATTAAAATATGGGTAAGAAAGCAACATCAACTTAGACATTTCATTGATTTTACAGCTTCTGGAGACGCCCAAAGATTTTACAGAGTTTAAGGATTCCTCTACATTATACCAGAACACGAATTAACAACTGTATTGTGCATCACTTGGGTTTTATTCCTGGGAAAAAAAAAAGCAGGATTTTGGAACTGTCAATGCTACCAAAAAAAAAAAAAATTAAGGCTGGAAATAAGATTTGGGGATCCTCTGGACTAATTATAAACACTCCTAGAAGCTATGGATAGAATCTAGCAGTGCCATTTAGTAATTTTTGCCTGATAACCAGTTACCCATTTGATTTTGAAGGACATTAAAGCACGTGCCTCCCAAAACAGGTGTTTTCCTCCAAAGCCAGCTCATAAACCTTCAAGCAGTGCTGGTAGCACATCTCATAGTGGATGGCCAGGAGCTGCAGCTCTGCTTCAGCTGCTCTCTGCAGGACATTCTGACAGCAGCCTGACGCAGAGTTCTTCCCAGTCTGCTTGTTGGGATGTTCTGGCCTTTAAAATAATAAAAACAACAACAAAATATTTATTACAGGGCTTCAAGATTTTGTTTACGTTCGCAGTGTTTTATTTTGAAGCTTGCCAGAAGCATTTCTGATATGATTTAAGGAAAATCCTACTTAGCCAACAATAACGATTGAAGCATTACAGTTTTGTTAGACAGCTGGGAACTGTACAAGCATCAACATAATTTCTATCCAAAAAGTGAAGTCTTAAGAACAATAAGAAATTTAGCAACGTTGTGGATCTGCGAATGCACTTACTTTGTTTCCACACCCATAAAATAATTTAGGTTGAAAAGGATCTCTGGAAGTCTGCAACTGCAGAACAAGGCTGCTTTGGTCTTTGTTCAACTTCAACAGATCTTCAGCTCACTCTTCTCAGCAGGAACTGCTGCCCAGCAAGCTTTTAATACCATCAACTTTGCCAACACACAGACAACCTTGAAAAAAAACTCCATCCAGAATCTCAAATTCCAAAACCCAGAACAACCCTGGACCCACCTGTTGGTGCTTGCCTTCCAGTCACAGATACACAGATGATCATATGATTCCTGCTTTCCAAATTAAAAAAAAAAAAAGTCCAAAGTTACAGATTAACATCCAGACAAAGCTAAAATTAACAAAAGTTCTGCCTATCAAACTGCTTTGATGGCTTTTCTTGTTTAGTGTCCATTACCTGCACGTGTGAGCCCTGAGCTCTGAAGGACCATTCTGTGTTGGAAGCAGTATCCACGGAGGTTTGAGCCAGCCACGCCACGGGTCGAGTCTTGCTCATCATGGTTACCTCCGTGTTCACTGCCCTGGAGCACAGACACACCGGGACACTGCTGCTTCTCGTCGGGAAGCCAGCTCTGGAATCACCCACAGCCTGCACAGCTGCAGAGACACCGGCAATGTTCCTCGGGGCTTCACCGCGCTCCGACCTCCCAGCACCGGGGCTCCCACTAGAGGATTTATCTGCAGCTTCCATGGCAGCAACGGGATTCTTGTTAGGGAGGATTTCAGGGGCTGGAAATTGGGTTTCAGCACCCTCTGCAGCGCTGTCAGCACCGCTGGCACCACGTGTGCACACCGCAGGTTTTTCACAGCTGCTGAAATAGGAGGGCTCTGCGTGTCTGCAGAGCTGGGCATTTTCTCTGGGGGGCAGGAAAGGAATGTCTGGCTTCACTGCGACGCTCTGGGTGGGTCTTTCGTTCTTTCCAGGCTCTTCCTCCCCTGCTGTGATCTGGGGTGGCACCTTGTCACCCATCAGTGGCACACCCTTCACCTCTGCATCCTCCCCCTGCTCAGAAAACTCACAGGAGTTGTTCTTATCCTCCTCATACTCCTCGTGAGCACTGAGATACTCCAGCTGCGAGTCTTCACCTAAATCTTCACCCAAACAGGAGGTCTGGGTGAAGCAGCTCCTTCTGCTCTTTTCCACTTCCATGGCACCAACACCCTCTCCTCCTCCAGAATCCACACAACTCACTGCCACTGCAACCTCTCAAAGTCACTGGTTTCACTCTTCCTGCCTTAATAAAAATTAAGAGAAGTTCAAGATGCTCCGCGGTATACAAAAGGACAAAAAAATACATTAAATTAAGCATCCTATTTTTACCTGCTGTGGCTATTAGAGCAGGTAGGAATTCTACAGCAGGAAATCCTAAGGAAATCCCAAGAACTCATTTCTGAATTGGTGGAATCCCTGCTGATACACAGTGAGCTGATTACATCATACAGTACACAAAGTGTTCAAATAAAGGTTAGTTATATTAAGGAAGAGGTGAACTTCGAGCTCCATGCCTCCCAAAAACTAAAAACCCTTTGGGTGTTGGACAAGGGGGAAATTAAAGCATATTCCTCTTAATTCTGGCAAGCAAGAAGAAACCATTACCAGGGACAAAACCCTAAGAAAACCTGAGAATCTTTACAACCAGAAAGTTGTAAAGAAACACGGGAAGGTCATTTAGCAATAGAAGGAAACTGAACAGTTCACCAGACGAAAGCAGTACACCTGCTCTGAACTTGCAGCAAACCCAATTTCCTAACAAGCACCAAGAAAAAGTAGAGAAAGGGCTTAGGGATGGAAGATGCTCTTTGTGAAGCTTATTTCTTAGGAATATTGCCAATTCTTCTCTGCCTTCCCTCAGAAGCTTCTAACAAAGACAGGAATACATAAAAAACATTAGCCATATTTCTCAATGTCTGCTTTCCAAATGACTTAAATGACACATCCCAATTTCAGTCACGGTATCTGACAGCCCTTCCCGGGGGGAAGGCACTAAGGATTAATGTTCAAATATTCAAGCCTTCCACTATCCCTTGCTTCAAGCTCCATCCAACCTGGTCTAGAACACTTCCATGGTTTAATTATACACTTCGACAGTTATTTTTGCCTCAAAGCCGTAGTCCTTTTTTACTACATTAACCTTACCTTCACCCATTAATTGAAGCTTTGAGCAACTCCGCGGAATTAAAAAGCTGAACGCCGCCAAAGCACATCCCAGATGCCTGTACAGAAATCACATTATTATCACAGAGAAGCGACTTTTCCCCCCTCACTTCTCCCTTGAGAACAAGCACCGATACACCTCCACGCCCCAGATAAGGGACAATAACCCTCTCTAGGGTCGCTGCTAGTGACACAACCGAACGCTGAACCACAGCCGAGCTGAGCAGCGTTGCTGAGGGCGGGAGAGCCCTGAGGGCAGCGCGGTGACTCCCGCTCGCCCAGAGAGCGGGCTGGCTGAGGGAGGGGGAGCCCTGAGGGCAGCGCGGGGACTCCCGCTCGCCCAGAGAGCGGGCTGGCTGAGGGAGGGGGAGCCCTGAGGGCAGCGCGGTGACTCCCGCTAGCCCAGAGAGCGGGCTGGCTGAGGGAGGGGGAGCCCTGAGGGCAGTGCGGTGCTCCTCGCTGCCGTCATGCGGGAGAATGGGGTCTCACCACAGCTCCAGGCCAGGCTGAGGCGCGACCCCGGAGCCCGCTCTCGTCACCGCCAGCCCGCGCCTCACGGCCCCGCCACGCACGCGCCCAACACCCGCCGGCGCACCCCGCGCTCATTGGCTGCGGCGCGCAGCGCTCCGACGCCTGATTGGCCGGCGCGGAGCCCGCTCTCGCCGCGTGCACCTCCTCCCGCCTTCCCTCAGAGGCGGAGCCGCCATGTCCCCTTGGAATCGGTATATACACCTTGTACCTCTAGTATCGGTACAGCTGTAGCCCCTTAAAGGCGGTGCCGCCATATTCATCCAGAATCGGTACCAGTGTATCCCCTCAAAGGCGGTGCCGCCATATTATCTCAGGAGCAGTACTGCTGTGTCCCTCACGGCTCCCCCCTCATGGTCCCTTCTGTCTCCTCACGATCCCTTCTGTTCCCCTCACGGTCCCTTCTCTCCCCTCACGGACCTTTCTCTGCCCTCACGATGCCTTCTCTCCCCTCAGGGACCCTTTTGTCCCCTCACACCTCTCCCGCCGAGCACTGACAGACCAAAGCGCAGCCGCCCTTGTACAGCAAATACAGAATCACAGAATTATCCTGAGCTGCAAGGGACCCACAAGCATCAGGAAGTCCAATCCCCGGCCCTGCACAGGACACCCCAACAACCCCACCCTGCACCTCAGAGCATTTTCCAAACTCTGGCAGCTTCTTGAACTCTGCTTTGGGGCTGTGACCATTCGCTAGGCAGCCTGTTCAGGGCCCAGCCACTCTTTGGGGGAAGAACTTCTCCTAACACCCAGCTTTAACCTCTTCGGGCACACATTAAAACCTACCTGAAAGTTTCAGCCTGAAGGAGCGTGTTACAGGAGTGAAGACAACCTACCTGCCACACAGGTACACTTGACTTGTGCAAGGGGCTCTGCTTCTTCCTTTAAACACAAATGTGTAAAGGTCCTAATGAAGTGTGCAAAACATCACTCAGTTTGCCTAAAATTACCCTTCAGAGACATACGATGGTTTAGAGCATTTAAAACCAAGACAAGCACTGCCCTCCTGCTTAGTCTTTTTCATGTAAGTGACTGCTCTGGCAATACATCAGTGCAAGAGGACATTTAATACTAAAATAACATGTTTTTGAAGAACCAAGCTGCCTACTGTTGTGAAGGAGTATTTGTGATGTGAAGGATTCTTCTAGGGAAAGCTACTGTGTGGGCTACCTCTATGTTCACCATAAATAAAAGTGGAGAATTAATCCAATTAGCAACACCATTCAAATTTCTCCTGATGAGGGGCTGTCCCTGTCCTCTCCCTCCCCAAGTGCATCTGGCCATTAAAATGTCAAAATTTGGATGCATATGTGCATCCTGCCACTAAAAATGTTGATATTTGGAAGTGTGTCTCACACTGGTGGCCTCAGTCACAAAAGCCCCTGAATTTGTACATTTTCCAACCAGTGTTGCTCGTGTTTTGTGTGATCCTGCAGCAACGTGATGAAAAGGAAAATGAGCTGTTACACCCGTATCACCCTGAAATTCTGTATTTTCCAAGAGAACTTGTACTGGTAACATCAGCATGGACAGACCACTCCATAAAAACTACCCAAACAAGTGACGTTTTTATTGGTGAGTTCTGCTCATAATGAATTTCCTTTTCCAAGCTCACATCTCCTAACAGAGCAATTGGGAAAAACGAAAACATCCCGGGTAACATTCCACTTGCAAATGATAAAAATCATTGAACATTTAAAAAGAAAACGGAGGATAACAAACTGAAACAGAAGTTCTAGGAAAACCCATCCTGGTTCCCCCAGGAGCTGTTCCTCGCCCATTCTCAGGGCACCGAGTTGCTCTCGTTTGGAGCTAAAATAGAAGGACTGGGACATGTGCTATTATCACCATTCAAAGCCCTGTTGTTGTACATTCTTCACAGAAAAAACATAGAACAGTTTGCAGTAAACCAACCAGTTCTTTTTTCTTCCCTTATTCTAATGCTAAGTCATACTGAAAGTTAGGGGAGGGGAGGGGAAATGTGGCTTCAACATTCACCTACTTTATCACACACAAAGGTTTCTACTAAGAGCATATCCAGGTTGAAATACACATCTGATTCCATCACGAGGTTAATGCTTATGGGGTGAGAGATGAAATCTACTTTGAAATGATAAACACATCCCTTTTTTGATGAACAAAGTGTTATTTTTTTTGCCTTTTGGACCAACGCTTGGTTACTGGGTTGTTTCCCCTGAACCTTGCCAGGAGAGGCAGCTTTCACTGCTGCCACAAATGAAATGATGACTGGTGGCAATCACACACCTTACCATTGGTAAGATGTCATATTTAGCATGTTTGTTTGCATTCTGAAAATCCCTTAGCTCGTTTTTTAGGCCCCCGAGGCTTTGTACACCAGAAATTACACTAGTCAAGCACAGAAAACTGTAAATTGGTATCCACAGCCATTTTGAGGTATTCCACAAGAAACCTGGCTCTGCACCTGAATGTTCCTCTCAAAAACAATTTAAAAACAAAAAGAACCCAAAGCCCTAACTGGAGTGGAAATTTAATTTAAAAAGATTCCTTCCATCCCCATGTTTCACCACATTTCATTGACAAGGATATACTTAATTCCCCAGGGGCACAAAAAAAGCCTTCTTCATCCTTTTCCTGGAATAATAATTTCAGTACTTCATTCCTACATTTCCTTGTGCACTTGGAAGAGATGAAGACGAGGGTGTTGTTTTCTAGCCAAACCAGAGAAACACATTCAGACAGTGGTTTTGGTTTATTTCATTTGTGAAGGTGCTCGAGGAAGATACCAGCGATCCCCTTGCGTTGAGAATAGCAGCGGTTCCTACTCTAACCTCCCATCTGTGAGGGGAAAGACCTGGATTGCAGGGTCTGAAGACCAAGTTAGGAAGAAATGTGATCTCCTAGGTGTGGATTTGGCTTGGTAGAACCTCTTGAGGCAGTCATGGTTGCTCCTGTGGGACAGGGAACAGATCCCAGAGGGACTGGCTTTCCTGTTAGGGCTGAGGTGGGACGGGCAGCTTGATTCCTGGGGTAGCTGCTGCTCTCCTTTGAGTAGTACATTCAGAATGAGTTCTGATGAACCAGAGCTGTAGTGCCAGTCGTGTGCCATTTTTACACACACGAGAATCACCTGCAACATCTCAGTGGGTCACGCTGCCCTGCGCGAGAAGTGGAAAACCTTTGCAGGGATCTCAGAAGGAAATAACTCGCTACTTCCGTAGCTGTAGAAAACCCATAGGCAGTAATATTTTTTCTAAAGTGCTTCTTTACTTAGCAGTTATTCTTTTAAAAATCAGACTTGTATTTTATAGCGGCGTCGTTTCCTAGTAGGTCATGGACCGGTAGATAGTTTCTGATGTAAAAAACCCATTACATATTTTGTTTAAGCAAATGACACTTGCTTTGATAAATGCACCACAGAGAGTGACCTAAGTGCAAACCCCACCATTTCTGAAAACGCGGCCTACGGCCTTATGCTGGTTTATTAATGCAACCTTACATCCTTTAAAAGTCATTTACTTGAACTCCAAGAGCAGGGATTAAATAATACAAATAAAAATTGAAAATTCAATGAAGCTATTGCCTATTTACCCTGAAATAAAAGAGTCTCACGATTCTACTGGTGCAAAAATCCCTCCAAACACATTTGTTTTATTGGCAAAGTCATTTAAGGTCACTTTTGCTTCCAAGACCATCTTCTTCCATGGTTTCCACTGAAGGAGTTTTGCTTTGTAATGGCTTGTGGTTCCACAGTGATTTGTAAATGAAAAACCTACTATGAATAACTCTACCGTAGTCACTAAATTACAGATACTGTCATGAGAAAAGTCCTAAACTTACAGTGTTTGTTTTAAAATTTTCAGCAAGACACAAAATTCCAGTCCAAGTGTTTTTCTTTGCGTGCCATTTTAAATGGCAACAAATGGCTGCCGTGCCCTCTGGATGGAGAATCCCATGTGCTTCTTAGGTGCTGTACTTCGAATGTCCGCAGAGCTCGGCGTGGAAGGGCACAGCCGCTTGGATCAGCTCCTCCTATGGATGGAGTGCAGCAGGATCTGCGCGGGGAGAGCCCGGCTGGAGGCACGGAGCAGGTGTTGGGGTGGCCTGGTCTCACAAGGCAATGACACGAAGCGTCCTGGCACAGAAGGACACAGAAGCGGCTGCGGCGTCGTTCCGGTTGTGAGCAGCGGTGCTTCCCGTGGGAGGGGGGGCTATTGCTGGGACAGCAGAGCGCTCCGGTTGGCCTTCATCTTCTCCAGCCGCTTCACCAGGTGGCCATTGCTGACCTCCAGCTCCTCGGTTTTATCCAGCGCTGAACGAAGCTGCAGGGAGGGAGGATTGGGGAAGGGAAGGGAAGGGAAGGGAAGGGAAGGGAAGGGAAGGGA